ATTGTGAGAGCCAGGCAGACCAAGGAATGAATGTCATATCCAAAGATCCTGCGATGCAACTTCCTCAAGAATGATCATTGGATCGTTGACGTGGCCTTCGTACTAACCCTTCCAACCTGCATGGCAATTCTTCCATCTCTAGTGCATACAGTCAAGTGATCTAAACATCCCTGGCCATGTTCTTGCTTCACTCTCAGTCATCAGCCTTTGGGTGTCTTCCTTGGTTGGTGTTGTCAAGTACTCTGGGCCAAAGACAGCGGTCACTGCTTTGGTGAACCTTCAAACAATCTCCAAGATTGTGTCTTTGCTAATGCGTACATAGTCATCAGTTGCATCGGCAGAACACCCATATGCCAAAACTCAAACAGCAGCAATGCATTTCATTAGAGGGCTTGCACTGATCTCTCCACATGCATTCCTCCAAAGCTTGAACCAGTCATCATATCTCTCAACGGTTTTTGCAATGGTCAGGAAAAGACTTGTGTGCATCCAAAAGCGTCGGCAAAAGTACTTCTCCCGATAGGTTGGGTTTGGATCAAAGTAATCTCTCATGATCTTGGCATGGCCCTCCGCTCTATCACGGTTGATGTGTATGTGGCCAAATTGTGATCCTCTCCTCGGCCGCCGACCATCATCATTGAAAATCATGCCTAAAACGGTGTCAAAGTCATCGTCGTCTTCTTCCTCTTCGGATGACGACGAGTCCTCCAAGGCCATCTCCCTCAACCTCTTCGTGTACAATCCAAACAGTTCGGTTCAATCCAAAAGGCTCGGTTCAAAGAGAAACAAACCAAAAAAACTCACCTAGGCAATTCTTCGAACACTTGGGGTGCGGTTGTGGTGCACAAGCCGGCCGGGGTGGTTTAGGCCAAACCGGCGAGCGACGGGTGACCTGCAGCGGTGCGCAAGCAAGGTGAGATGTGGCGGCCGCTTGAAAAAGAAGAATCTCGAAAGAAATCCGATGAATCAACAATGGCGACGGCGGCGGTGTTTGACCTTGATTCCGGCGCCGGCAACGGGGGCTGAACGGGCTGGCCGACGGGCAGAACGGCGACGGAGGGCAAGTGATGGAACGAGGTAGCGGCGGGGCCTTGCGAGGGATGGGTGGGAGGCGCGCCGGCGAAGATGCAGTGGCAGTGCAGACGTGAGAGAGAGGTGCGGCGTTTTACTCGGCCGCCTGTCGGGGGAGTAAAAATAGGGAAATTGGGGCCGGAGTAAAAATATAATCCACTAACCGCGGATAGGGGATCGGCTAGGTGCCGGTTAGTGGAGTAAAATCGCTAACCGGATATAGGGAATCGGTTAGAAATGCCCTTAGTTTGTTTTGCAATATATTTATCTAACACAGTTGGGCAGCCTTGGTCTCCAAAAAAGGTTCGATAACGATGACCTAACTCTCATTTAACTTGATCTTTTGTATAATCTTGTGATTGGTTTGTGCCGGTGGTTCCTCGATGAACGAATGTGCATCATATTTCTGTCAAAAATGCAAAAAATATTGGCTATGTCATATGCTATTAACTTCAGAGAGTCAGTTGGAATTTTTTTTCTTTTTGCGAATGAGTCAGTTGGATTGGTGGATTCAACTCTTTGTACATGCTATCATTCCAATCGTTTGTTGGTTATAAATTCCAGACCAACCGCGCCGACCATGGGATTCAGATGTATATACGCATATGCTGGCTGCATAGATCGGGTCAGTTTGTATGGATTTTGAGATTTCTGCCCTTTCTTGCTCTACGTGGAAAAAATGGTAGTCCCAATAGATCGCTTGGACTCAAAAAAAGGATTATCTCCCAGGGATTCAGATGGTCCAATTCAGAGGGCGAGAGCTGACAGCATCATACGTGTTTTATTTATTTTTGCTGAGAATTTTTGATGACCTAACAAACAAATATTCGAGCAATGGTGGTCCTCTTTGCAGCCTGTGTGGTGTATGCCCGCCGTTGTTACCCCTCAAAAAAAAAAACCGAGGGTCCTAATTAATGCTACAAACCTAGACCTAATCGTAGCGGACTCGTATAAACTGGAGACCTAATCGTAGGAGGAAGACAGTGCGAACATCGTCAGGACCTCCATCCAGAAGGTTCATGTATCACTCTCAAAGTGGATGTTTTTTAAGCATACTTTAGCACACACGCATGGGTGTCACTGACTGAAGGGCTAGGCGGCAGTCGAGCACTCTTCGTTAGCATGAATTTCTACAAGTCTGTTCCGTCACCTTATCGAGAGGTGGAGGAAGATGTAATTTATTTCATGGACACGGGCGACATGTTCAACATGAAGTTTGGTACTTCTAGCCCGTCAAAGATTTGTGATGATTTTGGAACAACATGGCTCTTCCCCCTGAGATGGTGCTTTGAAATGCAAAAAAGGTTGTGTTACAACGTTGCAATCTAAGATTAGATTTCAGAGATAATATGTTATCATGTATTGCCTCTCATAGTGTATCGGGACAGAAAAAGGCTTGTCTTTTTTACGTTTATGTATGTATACTCTTTACCATTACTAACAAAAGGGCCAGTGTGCAATGAAAGAAAAATTCATAATCTCCAGTGGCTATGACCACATTTTGTTCACATCTCACAGCATGATTTCAAAAATTCGTTCACAAATGCAAGAAATTGTACCCTTATTTAAATTTAATAACAAATTGAATATACGTTCACATTTACACAAAAATATCGTGGTTGTCAAAAAACTTGGGAATTCAAAGAATTATTCTGAATTCCAAGAAATATTTCTTTTAAACATAATATAATAGTCCTATCTACCCCGGCAGTTAATTCTTCAAAATTCACGCGGGTATATTGTCACAAAGACTCTGAAGCATTACTGTTTAATTACATACGTTCGAACATTTGTGAACTTTTTTACAAATTTGGGAAGATATTTTAAAATTGTGAATATTTTTTATATTGTGAATATTTTAACCATTTTCTATTGAATTGGCAAACAATTCTAGAATAGACAAAACATTTGTTTCGAAATTCAAGAAACAGTTTTTGAAATGCATGAACATTTTTTGAATTAGCAAACATTTTTTGAATCAATAAATTCTTTTGTAATTCATGAATAGTTTTTGAAATTTAAGGATATTATTTAAAATTTATGAACATGTTAGCAAAAAAAAAATTCAACTTCCTTAACAGTTTTTAATACATGGACTTTTCTTTCAAAATCATAGACTTTTTTATATTTTATGAACATTTTTTAAAATTGAAAATATTTTTTGAATATGCAAATAATTTTCGAAAAATCCCGAGAATTGTTTGAATTCATAAACATTTTATGTTTTTCTGAACATTTTATTACAAATTTCTCAGTTGTTTAAATGTCAGAAGTTTTTTGAAATCCCAAATTATTTAAAGTAGGAAAAATGGGAAAAGAAAATAATAAAATAAAACACGAAATTAAAAAAATAGGCCGCCCGCACAAAATTTTTAAGACATGGGCGCAGATACATGCTGACAACATGATATACAATTTTTTAAATATGTAACTGGATGTGCAGAGCAGCACACATACAACCGTCCATGCGGTAGCAGCGAGCCAAAAGGAATTGTGGGTGGTTGGTAGATTTCTTTTTCCTGGGGGATCGAAGATTTTACCCGTTCTCCTCTTGTTTGGATGGTCATTATGTTTGGTTGGCCATATCACACCTGATCGGAGTTCAAAAAATCAATCCAATTTTCCTTGGACACTGCTAGGCCACAATCGCATGCTACCTACTGCAACCAATGGCCTCTATTGATCAGCATGCCGCCATGAATATGCACGTGGGCCCTGTACACACCGCCCATCACATTCTGGGAATTGGTTTCGCCCGAAGTATCACCTAGTGCGATCTAGAGGCCTATGTTTTAGGCAAGTGCACGTGGACTCTTCATCCCATGACTAAAACGTTATGTTCTTGTCGGACGAGACTTGGCTGCTCCCTTCCCGTGTGCCCATCCGTGTTCCCGCATACGTGGCTTGATTTGATTGGAACAAAATAAGGCTCGGCCCCACCCCCTTAAAATCAGGGGGAGGGATGATTAGATTAGAAAGGAAAAGAGGAAAAAGATAGCCGTAGGATAAAGTGGGAGCACGGATGGGAGCATAGGGAGGGAGCAGGCAAGCCGGATCCGTTCTTGTTTTGCTCAATCCCACTGGCTCCATCCAAAAGTCCTTGAAACCTGGATATTTTAGGAGGACGTGGGGTATGGGGATTAGTTATAGATGGCTTGATTAGTGGCTTGTTGCGTTAAACACTTGGACATTTTAGTCCCTTTCTAGTAGATGGACGGTTGTTCTTATTTGGATCTGCCCCCTCTCGTATTTTTATAGGGGTAGTAGATAGTAGACAGACAGATGACGATGCCAAAACACCGCTACATATATTCTTCTTATCGCTGGTAATGGAAATATCTTTGGACATTCATATTTTCTTAATCTCTTGTGTGTTGCTGTTAGGCCATCTGATCGGTGGATGATGTCTGTTGACATCATCCAATTCCTTCTCTTGCAGCCTATGACTGTATTTGTTCCACGGAAGTGCTGTTCTTCAGCTCCTGGGTGATTATGCGTCTGGGATGAACATTATTTTTAAAAAAAACTTCGGCTACCGAGTCGTGTGATTTTGGTTCTGGGTCAGTTAAGGTTTTATTTTAGCTGACCCAGAACCAAAGTTAAGGTTCTATTTTAGCTACCCGCAAAAAAGAGGTTCTATTTTAGCAGATGGAACACGTGTCCCGCTCTCATGCGGCCGACAGTGCCCAAAAAACTTGCCATAGCGGTTAAGGTTTTTATTACAGATGGCGTAGCGATTAAGCTTTTTTTTTTCAAGATGCCGTAGCGATTAAGCTTTTTTCAGATGCCGTAGAGGCTAAGTCTACCCCCATCAAATCCGTGGAGGCTAAGCTGATCCCGGCCATCACATCTCATATACGAGCGTCTGCCCACCCACGGAAACTAGAGTCCGATCCGAACAATCCAATCTGCCACCCATCCACACGACGATGGACGCAGCCAGCGACGGCATGCGCTTGCCCTACGACGTGCTCCTCGACATCCTCCGCCGCCTGCCAGGGCGCGACGTTTGTGCATCCCAGTGCGTGTGCCGCGCGTGGCGCGACATCATCAACGATGATCATTGGCTCTCCCTTGAGCGCTACTTCCCTCGGCGCGCCTTTCCCGGACTCTTCGTCAACAAGACTGGGTGCCGCTCCGATACGTCCTTCTTCGCACCGCCGGCCACCCGCGGCGCGTCTGGCTTCCGGGGACCCGTCTACCCGCACCGGGCGATAGTATTCCAGTCCTGCAACGGCCTCCTCTTCCTCGAGGAGTGGGACTATTATGTGCTCAACCCGGCGACGGCACGGTATGCCCGTTTGCCGCGGCCGTCGAAGCCGTGGTGCAGCTATGGCGTATCCTTGGCTTTCGACCCTGCCGTGTCGCTGCACTACCATGTTTTCCTCTTTCCGAAGGGTGGTCTGCTCAAGGAGCCATTAATGGCCACTAGCACGCAAGGTCAGGTTCCGCCATTCGGGGAAGCACACGCGGAGGAGTTCGAGGAGCCCAAGAAAAATGTGTTATCAATGTTAATGTACTCGTCATGCACAGGGCGGTGGGAGGACCGAGAGTTCATGCCTGGACTTTGTGCGCCGGGGCACCTCTACGACATAGTTGACAGAACACCTGAGAGGTACGAGGGTCCATTTCATTCATCTAATTACTGGCGTGGGTCTCTCTACATACATTGCCACAACAGCGTCCTTGTGATTCTACGCCCCTCAAAGGAAACTTATGATATGCTCCAGCTTCCCGGAGAACCCTGCGGTCCAAAAAGCTTGTACTCGCTTCCCGGAAATTCGGTCTTAGCAAGCTATGAGAGAGGGGTACATTATGTGGTGACTAACAATTCAGAGCTTCGAGTATGGATGCTAACCGAATTGACCAATGGACAACTAGGTTGGGCATTGGCACACGACGCCGGCCTCAACCTACATGGCCATATGATTCGTACTCTTAAAATACAATCCAATATGATATGGAGGATTGTTGGAAGCAATGGTGGACCAGTCAGCCTGTCCGACGATGATGCAGAGGACGATTGGGCCACACCACATGACTCTGAATATCCATGGGACTCAGATGAGGACAACTTCATCGACATGGTTGGGGGCGCCGACCATCATGAGTCGGTAGAACAGGATGCCTACTGCACTATCATGGGATTCCATCCACACAAGAATGCACTCATCCTCGATCTTAACGGTGCGGTGGTAGTGTACCATCTCGACACGTCGAGGATGCAGTATCTAGGAGACGCGGACGAGCTTGATAAAGACAATTCGCAAGCAGCTTGTTGTGTCGAGGATTCGTTCATTTACCGCCCTTGCTATAAGGACATGCTGCCAACAGGGAAATTACCCATGCCACCTTAAAATGATATACGATCTAGCTATCCATAGCGCTTGAGATGCTCCTTGCCTTTATAGGCTTATCTACATGGCTATGTGCGTCCTTCCCTGAGGAAGGAGTTCTATTTATGTCGTTTAGAACAGAAAAAAATGTTTGGTTGCTTTTAGTTAGTCGAATTGAGTCAGTTCTGCTGTAGGTCGATTAATTCAGATGTGTATGTGCGGCTAAATGTATCTAGGTTACTTGTTATAGACATTCATGCAAATTAGTTTGAGAGGACAAAATGTTTTTTGTGAACAGATTGGGACATAATCGTGCAACTATATTTTGGTTCTAGTAGGAAAAGCAGTAGGCACTCCTCTCTGTACAGGACAATGATAGCATTTTAGCACTCAATGATGAACAGACTCGAAAGGCCTAAAACGTTCAGCAAAGAACATGGTTAAAGATGCAGTTGGTTTGGGCACTTTATGAGCTTACAGGATCAAAGTAGAAAAATGGTCTTTGTATTGACATTAAGAATTCAATAAATCATCATATACAAATAAGGGCATCATATATATACCAGTTAATGCCCAATCCAAGGGTTTCTCCTAGAGACTTCTAATTTCGGAGCTTATCTTTTGGACCTGCCATGTGAGTCATCATTTTCCAATATATCCAATGATTTGGTGAGAATAGAACTCAATTGTAGTTGAAACTGGTACTGAGTATCTATGTGCATATTTAGTAAAACAGAATATCAAGTAATCTATACAGCCAAGGATGAGCATAACGTAACCGGCGGTGTACTTGCGGAGGTACGCATTGGAGGAGACGGCGACGAGGTTGGGTCGTGGTAGTGGTGGGTGACGGGGTTGGATGCATGAGAGGCGCCGCGGGCGGGCGGACGGCGCCGACCATTGACAGCGGCCACTGCTCCAGATCGGCCACCATGGTTCGTATCATGGATCTGGATGAGGTAGGAGAGATAGGACTGAATGATATATATATATATATATATATATATATATATATATATATATATATATATAGGGACTTATCTACAAATGTGTCCAGAGTGGCGCCACAGATTGTCTCGCGTGCGTTGGATGCATATCCGACGGTCATAAGTCAAGGATGGCCGATACACCATCATCACCAACTTCTTGGTGATGATGCATATCCGACGGTCATAAGAGTAGAGATTAAATGTGTGAACTCATCTTGTTTTTACTAGAGGTCACCAACCACCCAAGGAGACGAGGAGCCCTGCCTCTACGTCGTCATAGTCGTCCCTCTCCTTGTTGCTGCCCTCTTCACTCTCACTCCAGATCAATTTTCCCTTGTAGGTAAATGAAATGAAATAGTTGCTGCCCTCTTCACTCTCACTCCAGATCGATTTCCCCTCGTAGGTAAATGAAATGAAATAGTTGCTGCCCACTTGACTCTCACTCCAGATCAATTTCCCCTCGTAGGTAAATGAAATAAAATAGTTGCTGCCTGTAACACCCCGATGTAACTTTCCCAATTTGTACTCCAACTCTTGCCGTTTCCGGCGTTAAGTTATATTTATTTCTCGGGTTCGGGTCTTTGTCTCCGTGTTTTTTTTCGTTTTCATGCATCTCATATCATGTCATCATGTGCATTGCATTCGCATACGTGTTCATCTTATGCATTCGAGCATTTTCCCCGTTTTCCGTTTTGCATTCCGGCGCTTCGTTCTCCTCCGGTGGTCATTTCTAGCTTTCTTTCGTGTGTGGGGATTAAACATTTCCGGATTGGACCGAGACTTGCCAAGCGATCTTGGTTTACTACCGGTAGACCGCCTGTCAAGTTTCGTATCATTTGGACTTCGTTTGATACTCCAACGGTTAACCGAGGGACCGAAAATGCCTCGTGTGTGTTGCAGCCCAACACCTCTCAAATTTGGCCCAAAATCCACCAAACTCTGCTCCATGTCCTAAGCGTTCGATCACGATCGCGTGGCCGAAAACCGCACCTCATTTGGACTCTCCTAGCTCCACTTATGCCTATATATACCCCCTCCATTTTCGGATCTCGTCTTCCCCCTCGAGACCCTAGCTAAAAAAAAAACATCTCCGCGACCGGCCGGACATTGTCCAACTCGGCCGGACGCTTCGCCGCCGCCGCCCGCAGCCACTGGCGTGACGCCACGTGGCGCGCGCCACTCTCCGCCGCCGCCGAAGCCCGCCGGCCCGCGGGAGGCCCGCCCCTCGCCCTCA